CATATGAAGTTGTCACATAAAATCATCCCTTCAATTTTATCCCACCTGTTGCCGGGCAACCAGTTTAAATATTTAGGTGTTTTTCGCTCCACGTGACCCGGATCCGAGCAAAAGTTTGCAATCGTATAAAGAATACGTAGCTGCTACACATTGATGAAACAATTTCAAAGGACGTGTACCGGCTTTCAGAAATAGATTGCAATACGTTTAAATTAATGTTCTTTCGCTTACGCTAAAGAGCCACGCATAGATGCAGTTCAAGAGTCTTTTTAGAACCGATTTTTCTGTTTGCACCGAGCTCATCATGGAAATAAATGGCCAGCCTACATACGAGTAAAGACTTAATGCATATTACTGTAATGTATAGCAGCGAAAGTGTTAAAACTGGTATTCCAATGATGCCTTGATAAATGTAGAAATACGAAGAAAAAGCAAGGCAAGATTAAGGGTGGCAAACTCACGCTGTAATGCACTGGCGCGGTTGCACCCTGAGAGATGCAAGTTAATACGTTCTCGAAAAAAAAAAAAAAAAAAAAAAAAAAAAAAAAAAAAAAAAAAAAAAAAAAAAAAAAAAAAAAAAAAAAAAAAAATAGGGATCGAGTGACACATGGAGGGACGTCTGGTAGATTGGTGCGCACGATAGGATTGGCAGTCCAGCATGAATTATATGACTGGTCTTGTATATCTGGTCTACGGACTTGAACCGCTCCATCTCCTTCAGACGTTTCGAATACGCGCTCTTCGACGAGCATCGTTCGCAATTAATTAATCAGTCTCTTCGATTTCCAACGAGCCAGATAGCTCGTTTTCACGACTAGTTTTGTAATTCAGTCGCGTCATCATTTCGATTTTAATATACTTCCTCGGGTACCAATAGTCTTCCTGCGACGCGATGTCGCGACTGTGTCCATGGTAGTCTTGATCATAATTGAAACGTCAGATTGATCTCCGCCGAGCTTATTTTTCATTCGTTGAGGAATTAATGATCGCGTCTGGGGGATGCTGTAACCCTTTTCACAAGCAACTGTTCGGAGCAGATGAACGCTTTGATGGAATTGTAATCTCCTTGTTGAAAATTCACTAGACTGGTGTGTCCAATATTCTCGAAATTTTGTTCTTCCATTTGATCACTGAATGGTGAACGATGTCGGTCATGTAGTAGTTCGCTACAATCGTCTGTATTCTTCTGCGAAATTGCGATCATTTCGAAGTCATTCTTATCAGAGTATTAAATGGTGTTATCTACCGCAAGGATTGATATCGTATTTCTGGCATATTTTAAAAAATCAGACATCTCTTTTCATGTGTCTGTTTTTGGGAGATTTTTGAGAGAAACATCTTGATCGTTGAAAAAGAGAAGATGAAGTATAATTAGTCCTTTCTTTTCTCACTTTTACACACTTACAAAAAAAAAACCCACGAAAATCGTAGTTTGAACCACCAAACTCGAAAGATCGATCGCTATCAATGCGATTGTATCATCCCTTACAACGGAGATTCATAAACTTGATCAATCGAGGAAGATTTATTTTATCGTTCGCTTTTGGACTGCAACAATAGTTCTACTATTTTTGGATTAGATTACACGCGTGTAAGAAGTATCGCCGATATAACAGGATAACAAGAAACATTTTACAATTTCGGTAAGAGAGACACGAGGTAGCCTTTAATTAGATTTACAAGAAGTAAATGGCTATCTGAACATGGTCCAGCTTACGTACGAGATATGAGGAATATTTCTTCAGTTATTTTATAATTTGATATAAATCAGTTTGAATGATACGAACGTGTGCGACTTTATACGAGCAAGGACAATGTTTAGCCATTTACGCACCGTGAATCTAACGTTGCGCGTTCAAATGCACGTGTTAATCTTAAACGAAATAAAGTTTGTTACATACCGTTATCCCATGCAGCTTCTTTCGTTCTAAGCAAAGCTGCAAGCCCGATGTTGTCCTTGGGCATCACTCTGTTCAACATATTGTCCGAGCCCTCCGCGTTCGCCATTGCCAATTGATTGAATTCGACTAAATGCTCCTTTATTAAGGTAAATCTATTGGCAGAGAACAACGAAAATGCCCAACTTTAATATCATTCACAGCTGATATTTTATTTGAAAGTTAACAAAACGAGACGCTATTTTATAAAGGAAAGTTCTCCCATTTGACTTGTCAATGCGAGAGAAACGTTGCGACTCGGGCAGCCAGACGATTTTCGTGATGCAACTCGTAAGAAGGCGTATTACGTACGCTATGGAGAATATAAACTTCCTCTCCGATATGTGTGGCACGTATAGTTGGGAAATATATTCCTCACCGAATACCTATTACTCGCCATCATCCCTCTTACGTCCTTAAACCCGTAAACAAGATTGAATCAACGTCACCGGTAGTTGCTCAACAGATTCTGGGCAGAGATTGCACGAATACTTTCGAAAAAGTACCAATTGGCACGACATGAAAGTAAACTTAGTTCCTTAGAAGTCTGATCGATAAGTACGTATATTGATTCTAAGTTGACATCGATTTCCTCGGCAATAAGCAATTCTACTGTTTGTTTTTGATGGAAAGAAAGGTATTACAGTGTTTGCAAATTCACACTTTACAGGCATTATCCATTAACTTCATTGTTATCGTTTATGCGATAAAACGTACTAGAAACATTGGCTTGGTGAATATAAAAAACTGATTGCTGTGACGCGCAACATTTCTTCCATTTATGACAATGCTAAACGAAAAATTAAATGTGTTACGAGGGAATATTTGATCACTAAATTTTTCGTGCTTTTATGCAAAATAAAACTTGTCCGCATTAATTGCAAAATGTAGAAGCTACTAAACCCATTTAGCTTTTACAACAATATCAACAAGTTGAAATTATTACAATGGACTGTTTAATTCTTCGAATGTTTTTATAAGAATGGTATTTTAAATTAAACTTAAAAAACGTATCATTCATTCGTCATATTTGAAATAAAAAATAACGGAATAACGATATCATTTTTACTTTCAAAGAACAGCTTTGAAAATAACTATAACATTATTATTAATAAATAATGCTAATAAATAATAAATTATTATTTCAAATAGTAATTTTGTATTTTCATTTCAAATAAAATTTGCCCAGGTCGTCTGCTTTGTATGCACCGGCTCAATATTAATAGGGAATGTAGACAGAAGGTGAAAAGAAGAAATTAAATATGAAGATAAAAGAACGATATGATAGAATGAGTACATGTTTGAAGCTTGGCGAGAGACAATGACAATCAAGGACTCGAAATATTCCTGAAGAAACGGTGTTCAAATATTTTACACTCACTTGGCTGTCCGATAGAAGATAGCACAACCATCGACGTATTTCCGGTCATTCTCAGCCATTGTCTTCGCTCGCGACTTCGGGGAAAAGATTCCATCGTAACCGTCGTGCTTGAGCTCAGGCAGAAAAAAATTGTAGAACTGATCTGTCTCCACCTCCTGCAGGCTGATGATGTCTGCAGCGTAATGTCTGATTTCGTCCAGAATTCCTTTTTTCCGATATTCCCAGTCGAGCGCCCAGCTTGGACAATAACCGTACATTTGTCGAGTCGCGTATTTGTCGCACAACACGTTGTAACACATTACTGTGAATATACCTGTAACAGAAAATTCGTCGTTATGAAATCGTCCAAATCACTATAATTGATTCGGAAGATAGAAACCGATCTCGAATTTTTCTTCCAAAATTCAAACTTTCTTAGACTTGAGACTGTTTAAATTATTGGAGGAATATTTCTTTATACGTATAGTCGTTTTGATCGTGAACAATTAATATCTAAAATTATAGACGTTGGTTTAAGATGAGCATGTAAAATAAAGTTTTAGGTATTTCAAATGGTTAAGAAATTTGTGATCTGCAGTCTTTAATTTCGCGGAAGGTATCAAATTGCAATACTTCGTGTGTCAAACTAAACATTGTTCGTATGAGTTGCAAGAAGCAATAGTCATAATTTTTTCTTTAATTATCTCAATAAGTTGAAAATGTCAACGATCTTAAATCCCTTTAATTTCTCTACTCTTTCGAATCGCACCAACTCGTTTTTTGTCACGAGTGCACGAAATCTGTGGTCTAGGCATGATGCAACGGAACATAAAAAGTGGAGTTCAGCCGAAAAATCAGATTTGCAATTGCGATTGACGCAATGATAGTGGTGGAGTCTTTGAAGTCGGAGCACAGTGTAATTTTTAATGAGAAAAGAAAGCATCGTGAATCTTATTCGATATTAAGGGCAGTTTTCACATGCTTATTCGGCTGTACCCTTTCCTTGAGAAGGGGACGTCGAAGCGTACTGCAGCCAGTACTTACTTCAGTGCCCCTATACTTTATTGGATTGCGGCAGATACCGCAGCTCAATTATTTACACTCTCTATAGGCAAGTTGCTCCCGGCTCCTAGCAACCGTTCGCAGTAATAGGACCACTGATTTACAGCTTTAACTCGGCCGTCTATCGCGAACCTGCGCTGAAATTAGCTCGAGCGCATTGGTAAAAGCAATATACGGAGATCCTCTCGCCGAGAGAATCACGATAGCTCTTGACTAAATCATTTCGCTTAATCCCGATATTGTCGCTATCTATTGTTCTCCACTTACGCTACCGGATTAAATTTATTTACCGATCTCTGGCAAAAAGTGTTTGGTCGGGCAACCCGAGAATTTCTCGCAAGAGGAAGCTTTTCATTCGATGCTCAAGGAAATAGAATAAAATGGTCGTTGCACACACCTGCGTATATTAAATATTTACATAAAAACGTAGTATGTTCGCATTCACGTAGAAAACAGCGGGAAAGGTGAACGGCGATTCGAGGAAACGTTCATCCGTATCCAAGTATTCAAGAAATTTTCCGATAATTTCTATTGTCATGTTCCTGATTACGTATCCTTTATAGCCTTCGTACTTCAATGGACGGAGAATATTACTTTTGATGAAAGGACTAGGATCTCGATTGCCTTTTAAATAGTTTATATATATATATATATATTTCGTTTTATGAAGATTATTTAAGTGATTAGCGTGACAGTCAAAGTGTTAAAGAAATAGAAAATTATTATATAAATATATATATATATATAT